GCTATAAGAGAAATGTGTTTTTCTTCTGCTTGTTGAGATAAACGCACAAATGCAGCAGATACCAATATAAGGCTACTCTCTTAAATTTGTAAAGTCATTAGGTTAGTGCTGTGTAATTGTTCATTTTCTCATTTCATCCTTAGCAGGTTGAAAGAATGAAAAGAAGATGGAGAAAGAAAGGAGACCTATCGTGCATTCTTTTCTTTACGTTTTTCATTTTAAGCCTGTAGGCATTTATTAAGCACTGATAACATCCTAAAGTTTATTACCCAAAAAGGTGCTGTAGCTAGTGATATCTAACTTATTTTTATAGATGTATTTGGACAGTATTTGTTTTAGTCAAAACTAAGTTTGTTTTCATTAATAAAATGAAATGCAGGCTGATTTAATTTAGATAAATAATCCTGACTCAAATCTCTTCACTCTCTTTGTTTTGAAAGGAATGACTTTCCACCATTTTTGTAAGCCTGCTTTAAAATATTTATGGCAGCCCCAAATAAATTTAAATGTCAATTTTAACACAATATTTGTAATGCAAGAAATGGATGTCAAGCCTTTAGAGCTGTTCTGTCCACTGTTAGTCACTACAAGCTGAAATACAGTCTGATTTGAGATGTACAACTATTAAAAATGTTACCTGTCTCACTAATAAATTATATACTGGTTTACCTGTTTAGATGATAATATACTTTAAAATATATTAAAATTAATTTTGTCTGTTTCTTTTTTGATGGGTACTAGAAAACTTAGACTTACTCATGTGACTTGTATTACATGTCTGCTAGACAGTTCTAGAGCACAGTTTCAAAGGAAACCCTTAGATGGTCCAGCTTGCCTGGATGCCAGATGGTGCTGCTGATCCTGGGTCAAACATTGATTTGGAGCAGTGGTTCTCAGAGTCAGCCCCCCAAACAGCATCATCAGCATCACCACCCAGGAATGCTTAGGCTCCACCCAAGGCCTCCTCAATTAGAAAGTCTTAGGGTAGGCCCAGTGTTAAATGTGTGTTTAACAAACCTTCCAGGGGCTTCTGATGCAGCCAGGGTTTGAGAAGCACTAGTTTAAAGCCACAGAGGAAAAAGAAGCACAGACCCACCTGTTGTAGGACCAGCCTTAACTCACTGGCTTGGGACTGTTGTATGGGAAAACAAAACAGGATGGCGATGGCTGACTAGGGAGGAAATCAGAACTCACAGGGATTGACAGGCACAGGGCTAAGAATGTGGTGATGGAAGCAAAAAAATGGGAAAGGAGAAATGCTGGTTCCCGAAGGGTGCAAACATAGTACCATGTATATGAAGTCTAAAAAACATGCGACATCATTCACCATATATATTGATTGTGATACAAAAAGAGTAAGTCCTGCCTGTAAATGTATACAAAGGTACCACACAGAAACACGTGTTTGACAGATGAACACAGTTAGGATGGTGGCTACCTTTTGGGAAAAGAAAGGGAGGGGATTTTATTGGGGAGTGCTCCATCATGCTTCAACTGTATTTGTAATGTTCCATTTCTTACGTTAAGAAAATTGATGTTTACATTAGTGTAAACATCAATTATACTATTTCTTTATCGTTTTATATAGATCTGAAATATGCCATAAGTAATTAGGAAAATAAAAAAGAGGAAAGGGAGAGAAATGAATTAGTCTCTGAAATCTGCTCAAGGAAAAATAAGATAAAGTCAGAGGTGATCTGAGTGAAGCATCACAGAGGGAGAAAGAGGTTTGGGACTAGACGGCCTCCTTTCTGCATTTTGTTACGGCTTCCTAGACATCTCCTTCATAGCATTGATGCCTTCTCTCATGCAGTATTCTGTGGTAGCACATTCATATCTTCATGTATATTATATATACTAATTTATATATAATTATTTATATTTCCCATAACACCAGCCCCTGAACAAGAATGAATGAATGAATGAATGAATGAATGAATGAATGAACATGAATGGGAGTTTAGAGGGTTTTATTTATCTTGCCTTCCCACACCCCTAAGCAAAGAGTTTTTCTTAGTAGGTACTTTATTAGAGTGAACTAAAACACTCCCATGCTCCTTTTTGGTCACCAATGTTGACATTTTTGAAATGTACTTCACATAGTATTATAACTGAATCACACTGTTGAGACAAAAGGCAAGGGCTTCTTTTTGCCATTATGTGAACCAAAAGAGCTGGCCAAGTTATATGGTTTGAGCACCTTCAAACTGATTTTGATTTGTCAGTGTTTACATTGTATTAGTTGATACTGTAGTTTTGCTCAGACCCAGGCAAAGGGGACCTGCGTCCTGAGCTCCATGCTTTTTTTACAGGCCTCACTTTGTTGTCTTCCATCCATGCCCATCCCTACGGGGGCCAGGAGGACCCCAGCCCACAGAACACGGGGTGGGTCCCTACTAGCTCATGCTCCCTGGCACCCCTGAACAGTCCCCCATGCCTGCTGCCAGGGCCCAAGTGCGCCTGTTGGGGTTGCCGCTTGGGAGGGCCGTGTACTCAGCTGGGGTCTGTGCTCCCAGCCTTGAGGGATGGGATGGGACAGGGGCCTGGTCTAGGAGCTAGGGCAGGGGGAGGAGAGGGGGGAGCAGCTCTTCCCTCACTGTTGGAGCAGGACTTAGAGGAGTCTGAGAATTCTAAATCCCAACCTGGACTTTTAGGTAGTTATGAAGGCACATCTGTCATGGAAGAAGGACAAATCTTACCCTATTTAATGGTTTATTACTTGATTAAAACATTTTAAGTATTTTATACACATGGATATGTGTATAAAATTGAACTCTTTCTGAACCCCCAACAAATTTTACAAATGCTACAGGAGGGTCAAGTTAAATATCTGATATATCACACCTTCCCTTGCTCACTCCATGTTACACTTTAACTGAACACAGAAGGGCTTTTTTCCTTTTTATAATGGCTTATTTCAATAGCCCATATTACTATAGGACTTGGACCCAGTCCTGGACTAGACTAGAGTATAACAACCACCATTTTGTGCCCTTTCTGTTCACCCCCATCAGCATTCTCCTACCAGTCTCTTTGCTCCCCATGTCTACACAGATGAGAACCTCCTCTTTAATACCACTCCCTTGTATAATCACTCAACTGGAGGCCATCGGCTCCATCAGGCACACTCATTTATGTCACACACCACCTCTAGAGATCATTTTGCTTCTCCCATCTGAACTGTCAAAATTCTACGTCATTTCTATCCCTATGTAACAGACAGAGACAGACTACAGAACAGGCTTTATTGAGTTTATTTGCTTTGCATATAGCTAAAAATCAAGAGTGCTAAAAAGCCGAAAACCTGTCAAAATGTGTCTCTAGGCATTAAAAAACCTTAACCTCTACTTAAAAACAGAGTTTTGTTATTAACTGTGGAAAAAGAAATAGTTAATGGACAGTTCTTATATTGAGAATAACCTAATAGTGGTCCACCCAGGGAAAGGGGGAAGGGAAGGTAGGGGATAACTTAATTTCTATTTTAACAATTCACTATGGAAATACAAGGAAAATTCAATCCAATCACAAAAACCTAGCATTATCAAAAAATCAAAGGTACAGTATTAGGAACAAAAGATGTTTTTACAGACAAAATGCAAAATCTAGCATATGATTATACAATGTCATGCTATACTATCAGCAAAAGCCAAATGTTTAAATCAGCTCTGGCACCTCACTGTCCCTCCGGATATTTTTTGCATGAGGCATCACTTTCACTCAGATCCCTGCAGTTTTGTTTAAGCAAAGTAGTCTCAAGGTGGCAGAGACAGACACAGTGAAAGATATACTGAGAAGACACTTCCGGGTCTGCTAAGAAAATAAGCTAGGTGCTGTCCAGGCATCCAAAGGTAGCTCTACTCTAGTGTTTGGTTTGTTTGGGGGGGATGAAAGAGAAGGAAGATTTGGGATGAATGGTTTACTGGGGAGGTTAGGACTGTTGAACTTAGTGACTTTTGGGGTGTATGCCTTTAGGAATGTAGGCAGGAGAGGCTGATTTAATCACTTAAGGCTCCCAGTGTACCAGAAAGTGAATTGCTTGATGGCAGGTTTGCTTGGGTAACAACCTTGGGAAACAGCTTTCTGAGGGAAGGGACAAAAAACTGGGCACACAGAGGTCTCTACCCCTAACGCTGGAGCTAGGGGAAGAAGGGTGACTCTCCAGTGGCCCCAGACTTCCTTCCTGGAAGACTTCTTGACTGAAAGTACAAGCTTTTGGCATTTATAGAATTTTGAATGTCAACAGTGTCTTCAATGCTTATAAAAACAGGATATGTAAGATATCGAGTGACCACTTCTGAGCAACTGGAGAGGGGTCACAGTGGTGTTGGGGCAAAGCAGTCAAAGACTGATGAACTAACCATCCAAAGGATCGTAATAATCCCCAAGAAATAGTGCCTCTTAGAAAAGCACTCACTGCTGCCAAGACCTGTAACAGGCTGACGTGGGAAATGTGTAAGGGGGGAGCTTCTGTATAAATTGCAGGCATGGGGATTCCCAGGTATTCAAAGGTGTTTCAAAGGGCACTGGGCTGACTACAGGACTGGCTGTGCAAACTTTTTTCTGTGAAAAATCCAGAAATTTTCACCTCTACCAACTCTTCTAGGGGCCTTTGCAAAATTTGGAGCAGCAACCAAGAAAAACCTGGAGTATTAACTAGGTCCATAAACCTAAAAGCCAATCCTAGGGCAAGAATCATCTGGACATTTCCACTAGAATTAATTTATTTGATAAAGGGAAATGACCCTTTTCTTAGTAGCTCCCACAAAATGTTTTTGCTTTTGCCCTCCCTAAAACACATTGCCCCAAGTTAAAGATTTCCCAATTCTACAGCGCTGCAAACATTTTATGTAGTTTTTATAGAGGAAATGCTGGTTTTTTCAGATGCTGGCAATGACTATACTGGTTATTAGGCATTCATGGCATGTTTCACTCACATAATTATTAGGCTTTAATTCCCATTTTAAGGCTTTCTGCTTATTAAAATGGTTACAGTAAATAAATCAGTACATGGCATTAGTACAGCTCTGAGCAAATATCATTTGAAATGCTGATGCTCCACCCAGGAGCCAGCACTGCATGATTTCTGTTATATGGCTCCATGCTTGGGCTTTCTTCTTGGCCATGGAGAACCAGATTGGCTCAGCTGGCTCTTGGAACATGGCTGGGTGAGCTGAAGAATGTCTGGTTTCTTTTCTTGTGGCAGGCACTTGAAATATCTTCTGATTTTCAAATCCTACAGGAACCACAGCAAATAACACACAGAGTAAGAAGCCCCCAGAAAGGGGGAAAAAGAAGCCCCCAGAGGTACTGAGCTATGTTTATAGGATGCAATAAAATTTTCCTTCTTTTGTGTTTATTCTGGTTCCTAAAACTCAGTGCATGGGCAATGCAATGAGTAGTATGGCAAAGGGGTGACATCAATATGGCTATGGCCACAGGGACCTGGAAAAGAGAAGGTCTGAGAGAAAATACTTACAGCTGTAACTGCCAATCTTTATGTGGTTAGTGTTAGATTGAGACTTTTGAATTGGGACCAGAGAGAAATCATATTGAATGGTATCTGTTCAGTATTTTAAATGTAAAATAGGGTAATATTACTTTTGTTTTGGTAATCCATGATGTTGTATGACACAAATGCTGACAAAATAGCTCCATCCAGTAAAAGTCTATGATAAATAATACTGTACCAACTACTCTGACCATGAAAACTACCTCCCTATTCTCCAATTCTACTCCTTTCCTCCTCCTGTCTTATGGTTGATTGACTTAGTAGCTTAGACTCAACCAATGGTTCTCAATCCTGACTACATATTAGAATTACCTAGAGCTCTTTTTTTAAAATACCAAGTCCCATGCCATTTCCTAAACTAACTGAATTAGAATATCTAGCAATGGAGCCAGGACCCTGTAATTTTCTGAAAGCTCACCAGGTTATTCTAATGCACAGTGAGTTGAGAACCACTTGATAGTACTATAGTGCCCAAGAGACTATCAATAGCTATGAGCAGGTCAAGTGCTGCTAATTCATGGCCTAATTTCTTCACTAGGGGGACTAAGGGAAAGGGCAAAGATGATTCATTATAAATCCATCCTCCCTGTCCCCTGCTCCTCCTGAAAAAAAATCCCTTTGGCATATAACCATTGATGAAATAACATTCTATTTTATCCCAGCATAATGTTTTTTTTCCCAGCTTTCGACATTTCCCCACCTCTCATACCCCTGGACTCAGAATACAGAGGGGCTGAAACAAGTCTTTTAAATAGTTTTAAAAAAAGTCAGCCCTGGCTGAGTGGCTCAGTGGATTGAGCACTAGCGTGTGGACGGAAAGGTTGCCAGTTCGATTCCCAGTCAGGGCACGTGCCTAGGTTGCGGGCCAGGCCCCCAGCTAGGGGTGTGAGAGATCAACCAATGCCGTTTCTCTCGTACATCATGTTTCCTCTCCCCTCTTTTTTTTTAAATATTTTTGTACCTACGCAATTGTACCTACCTTGATGGGGTAAAAGACTGGAAGCTCATCTGAAAGTTACACACTGGATTTGTATTAGCAGTAATGATTGGATTTTCCTAAAACAAGCTAATATCTGTATCTAATGGAAGAGCCATGAGAGAATTATGAAGCTGATTTGGAGGCAGGGGAATACATTTTGTCTAAGCTTGAAATTACAAAAGTCTCACAGTATTCTACCAGAGCTATTTGGGATGGGTATTGGGGTATGCATTTTTACCTGGATCAGTGGACTTAGGTAGTGTCATCTGTTCAATATTTTCCTGTCTATCGACATTGGAAGTGAAAATCTCTCTTGGTTCGGTTTGATGTACACAGCCAGCTCCCTTTTAATTCAACAATGAAATCAGCAAATTACTTACTCAGAAAGTCACAAGGTATAAACCCTGTCATAGGTATTATGAATTAAACATTAATCAAAAGGAAAGAGATAGATAGAAAAGAAAGAGATGGCATTGAGAAGACCTGGTTCAGAATTTAGGTTCACAAAACCTAGGCTGGTTCAAGTTTATCACTTCTCAGATCTGAAAGAAAGGGTTGTCTAATCATACAAATAGTGTAAACAGGTTAACATGAGAATAATTTAACTTGAGAACAACCTTTCACCTAGCACTTAGCAGCAAGCTAACAGAATGTGGTAGTTACAAAGAAATCTTATCAATTAATCGGAGTTCCATAGGATTTCTACTTAGCAAAACTTGTTGACACCTGATTTGTACTCTTTGCATTAGAAAACACTAACTACAGGTCTTTTCAAAATTGCACAGTTTAAGCTTTTCAAATTAACCTCTCCACAACTGGTCTAAGTTAAGGGTTTATATATACATACACTTATAGGCATAAATATATGTAAGGATAGTTGCTCACCCCAGTGGTTACCTTTAAGGGTTTTTCATGACTTACTCCTTATTGCTCAACCAATTTCATGGAATCCTGCTCTAGAATATTTAGGACAGGATTTGACTTATAGAACTTCTCATAGTCATTACTTTTGCACACCCTTTAAGAACACAAAGTGGGGCACACTTGTTTGTGAGCACAAAGCAAGTCTTCCCGAAGAGTCCCCCTGCCTTGATTTATGCAGTTAAAGAAGTAAGGAGCTAAATGCCTGGCAAAATCCCAGTTCAAGCTTAATCAATACCCTCCATCAAGTTTTTGGAGTATTCTGTGGGCTGCCCCAATCCTACCTCATATCTACCTACCTTAGTCTCAGTCTCTGGTCCAGCTCTATTATTGGCTTTCAGCTCTTCCATAGTAATCTCAGCCTGGAACTTCCTCTGCTTCTGCTTTGCCATGGTTATCCAAACTGGCTCTGAGGTGGCATAATCTGATTGTTGATCAGCCTTTTCTGAGAAAGGAATTCAAGGAGTTAGAACTGTAGCAAGGCAGGCAGAGTCTTGAGCCTGGCTGGGTCCTCCCCACAATAATATTCCAATGGGATCCTTGTGAATTGTCAAATAAAAATAAATAGATATCGTATAGAGAAGGGTCCCATTCTTTTTGTGCTCTCCCCCACAACCTGGCAAGGCAGGAGATCCTTGGGCAGTTAAGAAGCTATATTTAAAAGTTTGACAGTGACCAGAGAGGAGAGGGGAGGGAATTTAAGGGGAAAAGGGGGAGAAGGGGTTACAGGAACAAGTATAAAGGACACATGGACAACAACTAAGGGGGGTGGAAACAGGAGGGAGGTGGGGGAGCACTGGGGGTGGGCTGGGATGGGAGTAAAAAGACAGAAAACTGTACTTGAACAATAAATAAATAAATAAATAAATAAATAAATAAATAAATAAATAAATTTGCATGCTGTCCTGTTACTGGTCCCTTCCCTCATTTGTCCATCCCTTTTCCTATCTCCAAATTATGACAGAATGGTGGTTGTTAGGTAAGCTGGAAATTCAGAGGCCAGAGGGCCTGTTATTGATGTCATTCCTCTAACTTCAAGGAAATACAACATTTGAAATTTCATAATTCCTCATGCAAGTGTGGGGATACATGGGTGTGGTTAAGGATATACAACACTATGTGATAGTGACGTGAAGGTGCAAAGAGTTTGGGAGAGATTAGTGTTCAAAAGATCATCTAGCTCTGGATTCTTGAACATTTCAGGTGAGTGAAGAAGGTATGGGAGAACAAAGAAAATGAAGATTTCAAGCTGAGAGTCTGCACATAGTGCTCTATTAGTGAACTGGCTTAAAAAATCCATCTAGTGTTGGGGGAAGCATAATGACACATATAAAAGTGTTTTGAGAAAAGCATATAATTCCATCTACATGTAAGGTGTACAGTGGGGGAGAGAATGAAAACATGGTCATGTGTCCATTAGAAAATCCATTAATATATGCCCTGGCTGGTATAGCTCAGTGGATTGAGCACAGGCCTGTGAACCAGAGGATCAAGGTTTGATTCCCAGTCAGGGCACATGCCTGGGTTGCAGGCCAGTTCCCTGCAGGCCATTTCCCAGCAGGGGACTCACGAAAGCAACCATACATTGATGTTTCTCTCCCTCTCTCCTTCCCCTCTAAAGATAAATAAATAAATAAATAAATAAATAAATAAATAAATAAAATCTTTTTAAAAAAAGAAAATCCATTAATATAGATAGAATGGGCCATTGACTTGCCTCTAAATCAACAACCCAGCCCTATCAAAGGAACAACTCAGCAGGCAAGGCTAGAACACACTTCTTCCAAAGTCCTAAGACTTTGATTTCCAGTTCTTCCCTCCATTTGGTACCTACAGACAGTCCTACCTGGGATCTTGTAAGCAGGTTGCTTCTTGGGCATGCTGTCAGATTTGGTCTTGCTCTGTTGCTTCTCTGCAAAGTCAGATACTGCGGTGAGGTTCTCTTCAGTGTGGAGGAGTACCTTGGAAGCACTTTTGATTTCTGATTCTCTACCTACAGAAGTTGAAATTGGGCCCAAGGAGGGTGAAGGAAGCTTGGTAAAATGCTCCTGTTCCTTAATCTTATACTTCTGTGAGGAAGGGATCCTCCTCAGTCGGATTCCAAAAAGGTTTTCAACATCAGCCTCACTGGTGGATAAACTTGAACAGCCATCATTTCGATCACTACTCTCAGGAACTTCTTCCTTAGGATAACTATCCCCAGAAATGGATGTTGGCCAAACAGGAGTGACAGTGGACTTCACAGGTTTGGTAGCAGAAGTCGGGATGTTCTTAATGAGATCTTCAGAGCCTTGGCTGTGTTTTCTAGTTTCGTTTGGAGAAGCTGGACCTGTTGTTTGGGAACAACTGCTAGGATTGCTCTCAAAAATGGTTGCCTTAGCAGCAGCACTCATGGAACTTGAATAAACTTGTTGCTGATATTCAGGACCTGCAAAAGCCTGAAAAGGTTGTCTGGGAGGCAGGTGATGCCCGGCACTGCTACACTCTATAGGTACACTCACTGAGCCTGTTGACAAAATCTGTGGCTGGAATTCAGCCCCACCCTCAGCTTGGAAAGTATATCTGGAAGGCTGCTGCTCTTCAGAACACCTCCATTCTTCAAGAGACCTCTGAGAAACTGAGGAGACTACTTGCTTATGCTCAAACTTTCCATATGTCTGGGAAAGGTATCTGGAAGGCCACTGCTCTTGAGGACAGATCCACTTCACAGGAGCACTCTCTGAATATGAGAAAACTTCTTGTGGATTTTCAGGCCTCTCCAAGGACTGTAAAGGGCATTTGGTAGGCAGCAGCTTCGAAGAGATGCCTCCCTCAATATCAGCACTCTCGAAACCTGAGAAAACTTGGTACTCAACTTTAGGACCCAGCAAAGATTTGGAAGGTTGATTTGAAGCCAGAGGATCCACATAAACCTGCTGTTCCTTATCAGTGCTCTCTGAAAAGATATGCTGTGCCATGTACTTCACAAATGACTGGGAAGGACACCTGGAAAGTAGTGATTTCTTAGACATGCCTCCTTCAACAGCAGTATTCTGTAGATCTGAGGATACTTCCTGAGCTTCAAAGTTTAAGAAATGGATGGGATATTTGGGAGGCTGTGCTCTCCCCAGAAATGACTCTCTCAACAGCAGCTTTCTCAAACCTTGGCGACATTTTCTGAACTTTATGTCTAACAATGGACCAATGTCTGGGAGGTGGCGCTCTGTAGAAGTGCCCCTTTCATTGTCATACTCTCTGGACCTGTAGAGATTGGTTTTCTCAGAGCCTCAGAAGGCAATCTGGGTTGCAGAGGCTCTGTCAAAGTGCTGCTCTCAGCCACAGTGCTCTCTGGACCTGTATGTGCTTGTTGCTCGAATTTAGGGCTCATCCAGGGCTGGTAAGTATTTGTGGGACGTATTGGCTCCACAAGACCACTCCATTGTGCAGAAGCACTCAATGGACGTTCGAAGACTTTTTGCTGGGCAACTGGTCTCATCAGGGGCTGAGAAGGCATTCTGGGAAGCAGTGGCTCCATAGGAATGCCCCACTCCACAGCAGTGCTCTTTGGACCTGCAGAGGGTTGTTCAAAGCTGGTTTTCACATAGGGGTAGAAGGTGTGTCTTGGAGGCATCACCTCCATAGGACTGCCCCATTCTTTGGAAGCACTCCCTGAGTCACAGGTAATATTCTCTGGCTGTAAATTAAGCCTGACCAAAGGCTGGCAAGGACATTTTGGAGGCAGCAGCTCTACAAACATGCCTTCATTACCAGTAGTGTCCTCTGAGATGATATGTGCTGGGCTTCAGGATTTGTCAAGCATTGGGGACAACATTCCGAGAATGGTGGCTCCACTGAAATGACTCTTCTCAGCACCCTCTGAACCTAAGAACACATTTTGTTCAACTTCTGGGTTCATCAAGCGGTGGGCAAGCAGTTTAGGAGGCAGAGGCTCCATAGCAATTCTCCCCTCAACAACCGTGCTCTCTGGACCTGCAGAGATTTCTTGCTCAGATATTGGTTTCACCAGGGGCTGAGAATGAGTTCCTGGAGGTGGTAGTTCCATAGAAGTGATCCCTTCAATAACAGCAATTTCTGGACCTGAGGAGACTGGTCGCCCAACTTTACGCCTCAACTGGCGCCTTGAAGACACTCTGGGAGGCAGTGGCTCCATAGCAATGGCCCACTCAAGAGCAGTACTCTCTGGACTGGCAGAGGCTTGTTGCTTGGGTTTGGGCTTCAGCCAAGGCTGGTAAATGTGCCTGGAAGGCATTGGCACCCATTCTGAAGAAGTATTCATTGAACCTTTGGAGAGTTGTTGCTGAACAAATGGCCTCATAAAAGGCTGAGGAAGGCGTCTGGGAGGAGCCTGCTCCACAGAAAGACCCCACTCCTCAGCTGTATTCTTTGAAACTGAGAATACTTCCTTTTGGTCTTTGGGCTTCTCCAAGGCCAGGGAAGGGTGTCTAGGAGGCTGATCTTCCTCAGAGCTGCTCCAGCCCTTAGCAGTATTGTATTTTGCAAGATAACTACTTGATTCTGTGGACACTTCATCTTTAGGCTCCCCCAGAGCTTGGGACACACGACTGGGAATAAACTGCTCATGAGAACTGCTCAATTTCCCCAACAAAACTGCTTGATTCTACAAAGCCTTCTTCATCATCATCTTCGGGCTCCCCCGAGGACTGGAAAGCATAACTGGGAGCCAGGTGCTGTTTAGAACCACTGCCCTTCTGTGAAGCACTCTCTAAATCTGAAAAGAGTTTTTCATCTTCAGGTTCCCCTGAGGAGTGCAAAAAGTATCCAGGAGTCAGCTGCTGCTCAAAACCACTTTCCATCTCTGAAGTGCTGTCTGCATTTGAGGAGATTTCTTCAGCTTCTGGCTTCCCCAAGGACCGGAAGGGTGTCTGGGAGGCAGATCTTCCTCAGAGCTGCTCCAATCTTTAGCAGTATTGTATTTTTGAAAATACCTTTTTGATTCTGTGGACACTTTGTCTTCAGGCTCCCCCAAAGCCCAGGTTGCACGACTGGGAGCCAGCTGCTCATGAGAACTGCTCAATTCCCCGACAAAAACTGCTTGATTCTGCAAAGCCTTCTTCATCATCTTCGGGGTCCCCTGAGGACTGCAAAAAGTATCCAGGAGCCAGCTGCTGTTCAGAACCACTTTCCATCTCTGAAGTACTGTCTCCATCTGAGGCGACTTCTTCAGCTTCTGGTTTCCCATGGACTGGGAGAGACTTCTGGGGGGCAGCCTCTCCACAGAAATGCCTCTCTCTGGCAAATCTCTTGCCATACCCAAATGCTTACTGGAAAGGCCTGGGGGACATTTCAGGAGACTTCTTTTGCAGATATTTGAGATATCTTGAGCTGACTCCATTTTTAAATTTGGTACTTTGTGAATGAAAGCTAGAAGCAGCTTCCTCTTCTGACTGGATGTGAGAAGGACTCATATACACCTGAGCCTCCCCCTGCCACTGAGAACATGACATCTTCTTGGGTTATAGAGGGGCTTTCCACCACTGATAAAAGAGAAGCTCTGGCTTCTGACTTGGTTCCTGAAGCCTTATCTTCATGGTATTTTGATGAACCACTAATCACGGGTGCTTTCCTGTGTTTAGGTATAGGATGAGATACTGATGCTTTTCTGGTTTCATAATCTAAACCAGCCTTTCTCTGTTCCATGTAGTTTTTATCTGAAAGCAACTCCGGAGGAGTAGTGGCTTCCGCTTGAGTGGCTAGAGCTATGGGCTGCCCCGTGACTTGCTTCTCCAAGGGCAACCGCCGGAAATGGCTATCCCTGGCAGACTTATCGGCAGATGGGGACCCAGCTCTATTACCTAAGTCAAGCCTTCGACTAGATTTTGTAGTGCTCCTTCCTCTGGGTCTACTCTCACTCTTTCCTGAGCACTTGATCCTTTTTTTTCCACTTTGTCTTCCATATGCTAAGTAGCCCTGACTCCCTGTAGCATCTGTCTTTGTAGCCTGATCTGTTGTCTTAGAAATCAGTGTTGTTGCTCTGTTCCTGAGTCAAGGGACCTGTACCAAACAGAAATAAGTAAAGTAAAAATATGTGCGCTTTTGACTTGTTAAAATAAGAACAATTTGCCTTGGCCTGATGGGTACCCATTTGCTATTGTATTCCCTAGTATGAAGAAGTAGTTATTCAGAAAACAGAGAGCAATTTGGTCACTATTAGCCTTCTGCAGTTGAAAATTTTAAAATCAAAGTGAAATATGTGCTTTATAAACTGATTCCATGGTTGACTTATTACCATTACATCAATATCCTGGTGCACCATTAGGGTGAGACACATCAAAAGACAATTTTTTTGTACTTGCAGCAATGATTATCTTCCAGGAAACTGAGTGGGGCAGGGCAAGGGAAAATTTTACTTTCTAATTAGTATTTATATTTTCTACTTAATTCTATTTAATTTTCACATCATGTGCAGGTATCGGTTTACTTTCGTAGAAAGATATCAACGGGAAGTATCTGGGAGGTAAAATTATGGTCCCTTTTCTTCTGATTTCTACTCTCCTGTATGAAAATACGCTGATGTAATATACACGCAAATAAACTCTTGGAAAGCCTTAAGTGCATTGCTTCATAAGCTTTAGGTGAAGCACAAGGCAACAATTAACTACATTGTTCCTTTTCCCTTTATGCTTTTACCAAGGAACTCAGCTTGATGCCCAGGTGGGAGTGCTCCTGCTGCCTTCCCTCCCTCATCATTTGCTGTACCCTAGTGGCTTCATATCCAATATGCAACACTGAGCATAGCTGGATGTACTCAAAACATTCCCATTATATGAAAACCAATCAGTATCTGCCCCATAGACAATGAATCAATTCATCTCCTGCATTACAGGTACAACTATGAAAAATAAATGTGAGAAAAGACAAAAAAGCAAGTAAAAGGGATTAAGGGATTACTCATCTTTTTTCGCTCTCAAACCCTCCCTCTCTCTCTTTCCCTCTCTCTTACAGAACAGTTTTGTTAGTTTTCATGGGAAATTTTGTTTACGAATATCCTCTCTTCAAACACACATGTGAAATTCTTTCTGGAAAAAAATGAAATAACTATTTGACTTAATTTGTGGAACTAGAATTTTGTTTTATCAGTATTGCTTAAGTTAGGTTTCCATCAGCTGGAGATAATATCCACATACACACACAGAGAAATTAATCACTACTATTGGGGATTTGATGGGTGTTGGCTGCCAAGGACATTTGTCTGCAACTGCCCCAGCCCCTCTGCCCGTGGATTTGAGAACTGGTCTCACTAATAATTTATGACCTTTTCTCTCTACTAGAAGAGAAAAACAACTTTAAAAAACTAGTTTTGACCCAATTCTGTTATTATTGTCTGGTTCTGTTGCTGAGGGAAAATGCCAAGGTAGAAATCACTGGCTGCCCACTAAGGGCTCACTAAGGAACTCAGCATGTACATTAGACTTAGAGAGGATTAAATAAACTTATAAACAAACACAAAACACCTCTGGTTGGAAATTCATTTAGACAAAATAGGGATTCAGTTACGACCCTTTATCTAAATCTCACACAAGTGTCAATTGTATCAATCAGGCAGTTTAGATGGAAAACCTGGATCATATTAGTATGCATCTTAAATTGAAATCTCTGAGAACCAAGGACAGCAGGCCTGGGGAATTATCATTATATAGCTCCCGTCACATAGCACTGTGCAATTAATCTTGTAATACATGCTTCTGGGTAGGGATGAAGATGTGCCAACCTGCACTGTCTTTTTTTGGCTTCTTTTCATGAGTTGCTTTTGGTTTGGTTTTACTCTTCTCTTCAGCAACCAGTGGAAGGCTCAGCTCCTCCTGCTTTGGCTTCACCTATAAAAGGAAAAAGAAAGAGCTTGAATCAGAATACAGTGCTCACCCACACCTTCGTGGTTGCCAAAGGAAATAAAATCAGGAAAAACATCTGTGATATCCAGATGATTCTGCTGGAAGCACAACAATACCATGTACAGTGAAAATTATCTACAATGGCATCCATCACCTGGTGATCATTTGACCTATTGGAAGTGGTCCACCTACATTGGAAGTTTCTAATCTCTGAGTGATATGCTTAAGGGAACTCTCTAAAACACTGAGACACATGACAGGGCAATAAATCTGAAAATGGAGGGTTGGGCCTAACAACAATCATATTCTTGACAACATTAGAATTACGAAATTTACTTTATCAGACCTGGGAACCACATTTAAATCCTGCTTGGCTTTTTTTTTTAGGGAACTTAGTGAGAACATGAATTGTCTTTCTAGCCTAAAAGAAGAAAGAGAACCATAGTTTCATTGGGAAGGAAGAGAGGAAAAGATGAAGGGTTCAGCCTTTATACTTAAGGGGTTGAAACTGGTTTAGAATAAACAAGGTTTTCAGATAATTACAGTGCAACTTTAGAAATGTCAGAGTAGCATCGTATTGAACAGTGTCCAGAATTTGCTTAATGTAAGCCTTTATGACTTGCATTTAAAGGCAAACATACAACTCTTTATGCTCCCATTTGATGTGCTACTGCAAACAGACTCAGCCCAAATTACTTCTGAGTACATGAGGTCAAGTAAACCTGGGTTCAAATCTCTGCTCCATCATTTACTCTCTGTAGATTCCTGGGCATATTATTCTCTATCACCATGTCCACATCTATAAATTAGAGACAACAGAAAACCTCCTGTGGGACTTGAAGACCTAAGAAATTCTACAGCAGGGAGCAATTGACAGCAGCTTCTGTGTCATATATGATCCTGGACCGCTTTGTAGTCATTTGAGTGTCAGGTAGAGTCAAAAAGAAAAAGTTTCCTGTGTCCCAGCCTTCTTTAGAGAGTGCCTTTCCTCAATTAGGCTATGTAGAAGGAACTCAAAAGGGTCACACTAAACTTCTCTTAGCCAATATTCCCCTTCTCCCAGGTTGTGGTCATGTCCAGGTGATAATGCATATGTAAGGTTTAGTGCATAGTGATTGGTTACCCTCTGCTTGACACAGAACCAAGGAAATTCTCTCAGGGCCACCAGAGGGCCCCCTGGACCTACTGCCTGGCCTATTGTTCTTTCGACTTTTGTTTTTGTTTTTGTTTTCCCTAACGCTACATGAAGATTTGTAAGCAAGGAGCAACATGGCAGGGTGAAGGAGTATTGAGTTGTAAGTCAGAAGAATGGGTTCTGGTCCTTGGTCTACAACCACAGAGTGTTTGATCTTGGCCAACTACTTGTACTTTAATTTCCTTCCCTATAAAATACATAACCATGAAATCATTTACTCTCAAGCAGCTCTGATTTACAGCCCTTTTCTTATAGCTCATAGTCACTGAGAAATTAGGTGTTTGACCAAAATGAATCAGTCTTCCAGGTAAGTGACACATCCTTATAAACATCAACATCTTCTAATTCTTAGGTTTTAGTAAAAATCACTTCCAAAGGAATTACTTCCCTACTTTTCTAAACAGATCAGGGAACATAGTTTAACTTTTCTTGGTGACTCAGGCAAATAATGAACATGACCTATTACAGTGGACTATGATACAGTGTAGCCTTGAGGGACTTCTAAAGGTGGACAAGGTTCTTGATCCCTATACTAAATGGCCTGTCTCTGCTATCAACTATCACTTCTCTTTGCTATCAGACCTCCAAGTCTGATCTGTGGCCATGTTTTTAACAGAATTGGCTTGCTAAGTGTAGCTCTGCCTTTAGAAAGTTACGTGATGGGAATTTGTGATGTCAGTGTGACACTGAGAGATATTTGTAGGTGTTAATAGCTGAGTTTTGAATGCTTGGAGTTTTCCCAAATGACTGGAACAGTGCTGCAATTTGTAACATATGGGTTCTACCTGATTAGTAATTAAAAGAATACTGATTTGGGCTATGGTTGAATTTCTCCACAAAGAGGTTTGAGTGAATTCCCTGATATTAAGACAATAAACAGTTTCTGGGAATTTAGGTTATTTCTACATTCTTCCCTTTAATTTTATGTAAGTTCTCCATGTATAGGACATCCCAATCTGTAGATGCATGTTTGCTCACCTCTCTGGGGGTTTTAAGCCTGGCACAGTGCTCTTGACGTTACCATCCCTACTTAGGATCCCCCAAACCATATTACCTCCCTAGGTGCAGTTTGCAAAGCTTGGAATTCATCCTTTATTATAAATGAATTTATTCCAAGGCCTCTTGAAGAACTTACTGTCGCTTGAGGGTTCTTCTTCTTTTGTTTTTTGGGGCTAAAAGCCATCTTGTGTTCAGAAGCTGAAGAAGCCAAACAGTGTTGGGTGGTGGCTGAGGTGCTGAAACCAATGGGCGGCGCTCGGTGTTGCTGGGAGAGGTGGGCACAGCAAACGTGGTCAAGGACTGAGAGCGAATAGGTTCAGATGAAGGCTCAAAGGAGCTCTGGAAAAAGTAGAAGAAACAAGTCAACTCCATATGCTATCACTGGCCTTCAAAATTGAACATTCCTCTGGCTGAACAATTCCTAAATCCGAAATCCCTCATGAACCATTGTCTCTTTTTACTACAACAATTTGATATTTCATGTCAATAGGCTCATTGGTGGCAAAATGCACAGTTTCTGCTTGTTCCCTGGCTGGTGAAAAACTTGAAACAAGAAATTCAGGTGGCTCCCCTGCTTAGGAAGCACTCAGAGACTCCCCTTTGCACTCAGGATAGGAGTCCAACCATTTAATAGAGTCTATAAGGTCAGAGGGTTTACATGGTCTCTTGTTCTGTAGCCTGGTTTTATTTTTTATTTTTTATATTTTTTCTGATTTACTTCTTTTTTTATTTAGTTATTTTTCAAGTACAGTTTTTTGTCTATTTCTCCCATCCCAGCCCCCCCGCCCTGTGCTCTCCACCTCCCTCTTATTTCCACCCCCCTTAGTTCTCATCCCTGTGTCCTTCATATTTGTTCCTCCAAATCCCTCCTTTTCCATGAGAGGCTGATTGGGGTGAGAAGAACCATCTGTGTCCCAAAACCCGTTAAGGTTCTGGGATTTCTCCATAGGAGGGCTTGGTAGAGGAAAGAAAATCAGGTTGGAAAAGGTTTTGTCTGTAAATGAGTTTACATAGATAGCACACTGCCCTTACTTATATTAGTTTATGTATATGAGGCTGATAGGAAAACCCTGGGGAACTGAGTGCTCCCACACCCACTGGTATAGGGATGGAGAATGTCACCTTGTCCTCATTATGGCTGGGTTCCTTCCTGGACCTCCTAGTTGGGTTCCTCTGTAGGTGTTTCAAAACAATCCCCTCTGGGATTCCTAACAGCACTTTTTACACCTCTAAGAGACACCCTAAAGAACCTCTCATTCCTAAGAATCTCCAAATATTTGTGTTAAGATAAGCCCCTTTGAAGGCTAGGTGATAAGCCATCTCTTTCCAGGACATCGGTGGTGAATGATGTAGTTTAGCAGGTGGACAGAATTTCTATTTGTGTTTACTCACTACTTCTTTCCAAACTAGTTCTATGCAGAACCAGGGACCCCTTTGGTATTTGCAGTTTTCACATCCCTTCACATTTCCCTACTACCATCCTATGTTGATCCATTGATAACTTTTGCTACTATCTTGGTTCCAAATATGGTTCTTTTATAGCTTATTAATCCAATCCCTGGGAACTTAACACTGTGCTAATGATATCAGGCTGATGATATAGCCAGCTCAACACTCTGTTTTGGATTCTAGGAAAAGGGAAAGGAATGGTACAGTTATCTTTTGTGGGTCAACCAAACAAAATTAGGAACGGTCCCGAACCTGTCCTAAGTTCTTTCTGCAACTGTCATCCATTAATTTATCTAACCCCTCTTCTCAGTTCTACATATTGGCTTATGTTACCTTGTGGAAATACGAATTTAATACTCAGTGTACAGAGTAGTATGTCTTGTTTTACTATTCTGAAAAGTTTTCATGCTTCAGGGTGTTCCTGTAGTTCCTATAAAGCTATACTGCTCCTCCTGGAGATGTTCCAAGGACTACTTGCCTTTTGAGCCTTTGGCTGAACCCAGCTCCCCAGTATCCCAATGTCAACCCTCCAGACAGTTTCAGAATGAGTTTCCCCCCATGGCGATGGTTCTTTCAGATAAATGCTTTATGAAAATACTAAAATGTGTTTTATTTTTTCCAAAGAGCTGCCTTACCCCAACTAACAACAAAGAAGTGTCCAGCAACCCTATCAACCAGTGTTGAGGATCCCTTCTTTTGGCATAATCTTGATTCCTTCCCCCAGAAATATTCTATGTTAGCAGGCACTAGGCCTGGCACATCTTACAGATGTTGAGGTGAAAGAGCTCATTTAACTCCAGCTGTTAACCAGAAGCTGTCTGTGCTAAGCTCCCTCTGAGACACAGGAGAAATAATGAAAACATCTGATGTTGGGTAGAAAGAGGGTATATTAGCACTCAGCATACAAGGTAGGAGGAATGGTTTGCAGAAGGGGTTGGGAAGGGAAAGTAGAAAAAGGAATCCCATTTCCTTCCCTCGATTTTCTTTCAGAAACCTACCAGGAAGGGGTTCAGTTTGCTTTCTTTCAGTTTCTCTGATACCTCATAAAATCTTGTGGTTGGCTCATATGGTAACTTTTCTAGGTTTCTCTGAACCAATACAGTTGAGGGAAGAAAAGGTACGGCCTTCAAAAGAGCCCCACTTCCCAGGGGGAATCCAGATATTGATGGTTTTTGTTTTAAGACAACTGGTGGGATTATTTAGGAGCTTTTTTTATGCTTCTGTTTGTAAATGGGACACTTTCTCTTCATGCCAGAGGACGAGAGAGTGGTTCACAATGTTAGTCCCCAGAAGACTCATTCAGAGAGCCTGTGAAGCCTATAGCAAGGCTCCTCCCCTGTGAGTCTTATTCGACAGGTCTTGATATGTCCTTAAATGTACTTTTCCAACACCTACTTCAGGTGATTCTGATGCTGGGAGGTTCTCAGACCATACTTTGATTAACACAGTCCAGAGATCCAGAGATCCGGGGAGTTTATTTGAATAGTTTTTTCAAATTTACTAGTAAGTATAAGGGAAGTTATAAAATATATAAAATAAACAAACAGCATCTCTCAAATAAGCAGCATCTAGTTTCAGTGAGCCCTGTATATCTTGCTAAGTTGCCCCTGGCCCAGCACTAGCAGCAGCTGGCCTTGGTTCACAGCTTAAACTCACCTGGGCACCTCCAAGTCCAGCACAAGTAGCAGCAACCTACAGACCACTTTGTAGCTTATGTTGTGTGACCCTGGACAGAACACAGTCAGTGGCTGACCTTGGACATGCCAACAGCAGTCCAGGCTCAACTACAGCAAAAATGGTACACACAGCCCACACAGTGGGTGCACCTTGAGTATTTAGTTTGGGTAATAGGGGAGGCTCTGCCACTAGTCTGTACAGGGCACCTACTACATTAGGCCCCTCTACCAAGCTCAGGAGATGTAGCAGCTCTACATAATAGATAGAAAGGAATGCAGGGAGGCTTCCAAAATGAGGAGACAGGAAACAAGGCCCAAATGAAATAACAGAACTCCAGAAAAAGAACTGAACAAAATGGAGATGAGCAATCTATCAGACACAGAGCTCAAAACAATGGTTATAAGGATGCTCAAGGAACTTAGTGAGGACCTCAGCAGCATAAAAAAATCCAGTCAGAAATAAAGATACACTAATTGACATAAAAAACAATTTACAGGGAATGAGCAACAGAGTGAATAAAGCCAAGGTCAAATGAGTAATTTGGAATATAAGAAAGCAAAAACCAACCAATCAGACCAGCAAGAAGAATAAAGAATCCAGAAACATGAGTATAGTGAAAGGGGCCTCTGGGACAACTTCAAGAGGTCCAACATTCATGTCATGGGGGTGCTGGAAAGAGAAGAGGGACCAAGACATTGGAAACCTGTTTGAAAAAATAATGAAAGAAAACTTTCTTAATTTGGTTAAGGAAATAGACATACAAGACCAGAAAGCACAGGGAAACCCAAACAAGAGAAGAGGACCACACCACGACATATCATAGTTAAAATGCCAAAAGCTAAAGACAAGGAGAGAAACTTCAAGGCAACAAGAGAAAAGTAGTAGCTAGTTAGTTAGTTACAAAGGAGCACCCATAAAGCCATCTGCTGATTTCTCAAAAAACAACTTTGCAGGCTAGAAGAGATTGACAATAAATATTCAACGTGATGAAAAGCAGGGACCTACAACGTACATTACTCTACTCAACAAAGATATCATTTAGAATAAAAGTATATATAAAGATCTTCCCAGACAAGAAAAAGCTAAAGGACTTCATCACTAACAAACCAGTATTACATGAAATGTTAAAGGATCTTCTTTAAGATCAGAAGTACGAACAATAAAATGACAATAAATACATATCTATCAACAATTGACTCTAAAAACCAAAATAAACAAACAAGTAGAACAGAAGCAAAATCATAGATAAAGAGAATGTTTTGATGTTACCAGATGGGAGAGAGTCAGGGGGATGGTCAAAAAAAGGTGGAGGGATTAAGAAATACAAATCAGTAGTTACAGAATAGCCATATGGATTTAAAGTACAGTACAAAGAATTGAGTAGCTAAAGAACATATATGCATGGCCCATAGACATGTACAATAGTGTGGAGATTGCCTGGGGGGGGTAGAGGGGGACAAAGAAGGAAAAACTGGAACAACTATAGTAACATAAACAATAAAATATAATTTTAAAAATACATTAAAAAAGAAATACTTATTCATCCTCATTGCCCATCTCACCTGTACTCAAAGGGGAAGATGACTCAGGGAGGAAACAGCAAGCTTTGTTTACTAGAACTGAAAGGGTCAAAGCATCCAACTCTTCACCAAGGGCATGTGGAAGAAATAGTCTGAGACAGAAAGGGCTTAAGCATTCCTTTTTATTCTTCCACAGGGCACTTGGGGGAGAAAGTTAGCTTAGGATAAAAAAGCTACTGAGTCCCTGAAAGATAGAATGTTTTTCCCACCATCACAAGAAGGAATCATCAGCTCAGAAGAAAGAGTATGACAGAAAACCTGGAAAGACTCCTATGAGAGAGTAGAAATTTAATCATCTTTTAGTCTGACTTCCTACTTGAATGATTTTGTTTTCACCTTGCTCACTAGTTGACGCTCAATGAGAAGGCAGTGGGAGCTGGGTTTGTGGGAGGGCTTTGGGGTATATAAGAGTTAAAGATCATAATTTATGAGGAGATCAGAGAAGCATCCAGGCCAGCTCATCTGGTAAGGCTGGTGACTATAGCTAGTACAGCTACTTCTGGAAATGCTACTGCTACTGTTATTGCTGCTATGTCTGCCACCTACCCCCTCCACCCTTATGATCACCATATTAAACTAATAAACCAGGAAGTATGATGGGAATAGCTAAGTAACTCATGCCTGGGTATAGTTTGACTGTACCATCAAAGACTGGACACTTTGCCA